AGTTGAATCATTTCACATCTTGTTGAATCATTTCACATCCTGTTGAATCATTTCACATTTAGTTGAATGATTTCACATTTAGTTGAGTGATTTCACATGGTATTGAATCGTGTCACATCTAGTTGAACGATGTCGCATTTAACTGAGTGATTTCAGATTGTATTGAGTCGTTTCACGTTTAGTTTATTTATTTCACATGAGGTTGAATCACGTCCCATCTAGTTGAATCATTTCGTATTTAGTTGAGTTATTTTAAAACACAGCGGATGGTTCTAAAAAAGCATGAATTATTTGCCAACCGAAAGTGTCACTTGTATACGACCTGCTAAGTCATTGCAAAATATGCCAAGCCATTTCACTTGAACTATATGAATCAGCGCAATAATAGACGAATGAATACACAATCAAGTGAATCGTTTCAATTTTAAACAAATCATTTCTGTTCTTGTCCAGTCATATCACTAAGTTAGGTTCAAGCATTTCTAAACATGATGACTCGTTCGTGTTTGTAATGAATGATTTCTGTTTATGTCCATTCATTTCACATGTGTAGTATTTTTGGTGGTAACGGCCGCCCATAGGTTTTGAAGTAAATTTTAGTTAGCCAATTTTATTGTGGTCGACATACAATATTTGAGGCGTATTTGAAAGATATCGTTCAAGTGAACATAACAAATCCTAAAGGTCATTGGTCAAATTTGACGTATTAAATCTGTTATATTCACCTAAAGGTGAATATAACAAAATCGCCGAATTTTCAAAATGGCGGCTAGCCGCCTAGTTTTGTTGAGGTTAGTGATAAAGAAATAAGCGAAATTAAAATGAATTCAGACAATATATCTGCTATATCTATATGATATACCAAGCATTCTTTAGCATTTCGTGAACCAAAACACACTCGTATATACATACTAGAAAATACATGCATGCAGAATCCCTCGCCTTGCTGACAAAACCATTGTATTTTCCGAACATGAAGTATCTAAAGTAGTTGTCATGGTAACACGATAATTTTTGGCGTCTACTGGAACAGTAGTCGCCATATGCTGTCTACAAGAGGTTTAGAAAAGGTTTAGAGCGTTATATGGTTATATAGAGTGGACAGTTCACTTCTCCTGCGAACAGGCTCTTTGGTTAGGTTAAAGCCCGCGCATCTACGTCTACGAAAGTTTCCGAACTGTTTACGATAAATGGTTTTATCAATGCCGTCCAGCCTTGAGACTTCCGACGTTATTATAAAGAACTCCGCGAGCATTTGCAGTAGAAATACGAAAATATCACCAAAAAATTCCGCTTGAAAGATACTATATGTACTCGAACAATGTAAATTAAATAGCCATAAAATATAAACTAGCCATTCTCGAACAATGTAAACTAACCATACTATACCTATACATACAGCTATTTCAATTAAAGTTGTCCACGAGCAAAGTGGAAAAGTCGAATACGACCGCGAAAGGCTGCTGAGAATCGCTAACAAATTAATGAATTTTCAAAGCGATTCCCGGCAGCCTTTCGCGCTCGTATTCGACTTTTCCGCTTTGCTTGTGGACAACCTTAATTGAACCATAGATTGAACCGAGACGCTCTGCGGAGCGTTAACTCTCTGGGGCTATACAACTTTATTATTATTATTATTATTATTATTATTATTATTAAAACTTTATTTAGGCACGGTATTACTCATCAGGATTTACATTATATGGGCTACATTAACTAAACTATATTACAAGAACTACGGTGGTTACAAAGTTATCTCTATACCTGCTTTCCATGAGGGCCGTGTATTAAAAATAGCTATTAAAATTTATAAAAGACTTCTACAGCCCGCTCGAAAATTGTCAAGGGACTGTGCTTGCCGTAACCCGATTGGAAGACTGTTCCACAGCACAGCGCCACTATAACTAAAGCTGTTTTTCAAATAGTTTGTGCGAGGCATAGGAACAGCTAATTTATTCTCAGTGTCACGCAATTGGATTGAAGTTACACTTTCACGATCAGTAAACATGGAGTGCATATAGTCGGGAGCTAAACCATTAAGAGATTTATAGACCATTACAGCCTTTTGAACTTTACGCTGAAAGGAAAGTGTTTTCCAATTGAGCTTTTCAAAGAGTGAATCGGCATTAGTGTCATAGCTAGAGAATGTTAAAACCCTGGCTGCACGATTTTGTAATTTTTGGAGCTTTTCAGTATAAGTTTTATTACAGTTATCCCAAACTGAACAACAGTAGCTGAAATGAGGCTGAACTAGAGCGTTGTAAACAAGCTTCAACGTTGTAGCCGGAATAAAAGATCGCACACGTTTCAAAGCACCAATACCAGAACCAATCTTTTTTATTAAATCATTGATATGGGCATTCCAAGACAGGTTTTCATCAAGCTTCATCCCAAGGGACTCCGTTTGAGAAACTTGACGAACAGGATGTCCATTGATTGCTAAGGAAGGGGCCGAGTGTAACGTGCTTAATTTTTGTCTTGACCCAATTAGCATGAACTCTGTTTTAGATTGATTGAGAGTTAGCTTATTGGCTATGAGCCATTTATTGACATTATCAAGATCTTGATTAAGCTTATAGTCCATAGCCCCGTTTACACGACAGTCATTTTGGGTACGGCATGCTTAAATTTTTGTCGTGTAAACGCAAAATTAAGGGTCCGCGGGCCCAAAATTAAGGGTCCGCGGACCTCCTCAGGAGGTAGTCTCGGCCCGCTTAAAAATGGGTCCGCGGACCCAAAACTTGTCACGCACGCGTTTTGTTTCTCACATTGCAAACATATTGTGTCTGTACAAACAAAATATTGAGGGAAAATGTGCATGGTCAGATACAAGAGCTCCAATATATATTATGGTCATGCATAAAGAAGCTATATTCAACTGATATTCTTGCTACATTCAAGTCACAGCAAAGTGAAGAGAACTGTATTTAAGCATATAATAGTTTTGTTTGTGGAAACACCACGTAAATTTGTGTATTTAAGCAGTTTAAGCAATGCTATATGTGATGGTGAAGATTATTGTTATTTCATAATTAACAATCATTTGCCGAGGGCGAAGTGTTATCGGTCAACATTCACCATAATCATGCAGTGAGCCTGCAGCGAATCATTGTTGTAGTATAAATTAATTTTCAACGAAATAAAACGGAATATCTGAATATCAGTTTAAGTATTCTGAAATTAAACTTAACTGTCGCTGCTTGTCAGCCAGACAAGTGTTGCCAATTAAAATACGCAGTGTTTCGTGTTCGCACTGTGCACACTTTCAAAATTGCATCCTATATTTTTATAATATGAATTTATTGCTTCATTACAAAGTTGTTTATCGCCATGAAGGTCAATGAAATATCATGATCTGTAACTTAGAAAATTAAAACACTTTCATATAATGGCTTTTCAAGCACCAACAAGTACAGATTTTGCTAGGTTTATATGAGTTTATAAACTTACAGTTGAAAAAATACATTCATGCATGGAAATGCACAAACTTTGTATTTTTTACGAAAATGTTAATAATTGTCTGGAAATACTTTAATACAAATTTTCGAAAAATTAAACTATCTCAATAAAAATATAGTTTCTGCTTATTTTATTAGGGAAAAAGCTGACAAAATTGGTAAAAATGAAATGTTAATTGAATGCTCGAAATAAAGTTTAATACACTTTTTCCCACACCAAAAAGTTATGGCTGAATAGATCAGATATTTCATGTCATGAAGTCAAGGTTTTGACTCTGTAAGAGTGCCGTTCCCAGTTTAAGCGTGCCGAACCCAAAAGTTTTAGAACAAAAATTTCGTCGTGTTAGGCCCGGTTTAGACGCCGTGCTTTTCATGAGCCGAACTTAATTCATATTTTACTCGAGTAAAATAGGCGTACTTCCAATTTTGATTTAGACAGGCGTGCTTTTCATGAGCCGTACTTATTAATTCGCGCTGCATCACTTCGAAACCTGGGACGAGTGACAATTCATAATAAGAAAAAAGGGTTTATCACATACAATCTTGGCATTTCTGAGCGTCTACAGGTTTGTGGTTATTAAAAATTTCAATTGCTTTTTGAAAAGCCTTATTACTACAAACATAAGCATAATGCCTGGATATAATGTGTGGGAAAACGAGACCTATATAGGCTTAGGGCGAGTTTCTCCCAAACTACTACAAGTGTTTCTATAACTGTATGGGTCATACATAATAAATGCTTTATATTTATTTCTTAATATAACTAAAAAACGATTTGTAGTAGACTCGATATATTTACAAATTCTCATTGCGTAATAATGCCGACCTTTGCTCCATCAATTTACTGCAAGAAACCCTTTTTGCCTTTATCAGCAAATATCGCTATAAGCCTAATTTCGCAACTTTTATGCAAAGTGTCTAATGAAAGGTGTATTCTTTGCTACAAATTGACGTATATAAAGAAAAGAAAGGGAAATTCTACCGCGATATTTGCCGATAAAGCGGTATTAAATCACTACAAAACAAGCCAGAAGCGGAAGTGGGAAGGTTTTTGTATTTTGACTGTTTAAACAATTCTTAATTGTTTTGTTTACGATTGTAAGTTTAGGCGGGAAATTTCCCGCGTAGAAACACGCTTTCTCGACCAATCAACGCACGCGTACTATAAATTTCTATTTTATCATAATTTATGCATTTGGTACGGCTCATGTAAAGCACGGCAGTATAAATCAACATGTGCTTCAGCCGTGTAGCACGCCTGAACCAGGCGAACTTATTAATTTAGCCGTGCTTAATATTAAGTGCAGTGCTTAATTGATTTAGACGCCGTGCTTCTCATGTGCTTAATTCATTGTATTAAGTTCGGCTCATGAAAAGCACGGCGTCTAAACCGGGCCTAAACGCAACAGGCGGACCAAAAAGCATGGGTCCGCGTGCCAAATTTTAAGCGTGCCGTACCCAAAATGACTGTCGTGTAAACGGGGCTCATGTCATCAACATTATTGCTAGCAAATGTTAAATTAGTGTCATCAGCGTACATACGTGGATGGGAATGTGTCAGGCAATTTGGTAAATCATTAATGTAGATAAGGAAAAGCAAAGGTCCTAAGATAGTCCCTTGCGGGATACCGCAAGGCAATACGCGTTGACTAGACAGATGACCATTGACATAACATTTTTGATTGCGATCATTTAAGTAGGACCTAAACCAGTTGCCTGCAGAACCTCCAAAACCATATACGCTTAAGTTTGACAGCAATATTGCATGATCAACAGTATCAAACGCCTTCTTGAGGTCTAAGAAAACGACGGCATTAACGTTGCCTCGGTCAATATTGTAAGACCAGTTATTAGTAGCCTCAAGAAGTGCGGTGACAGTGGAATGAAGAGTTCGAAACCCTGACTGGCAATTAGATAAGAGGTTATTATCCATAAGATAGGCATAAACTTGATCATAAATAATTCTCTCAAAAACTTTCGCCACCACTGGAATTATAGAAATTGGGCGATAGTTATTTAAATCCCTACGCTCTCCCTTTTTAAATAATGGAATCATACAAATACGCACATTACTAAGCGGAAAAGTCGAATACGAGCGCAAAAGGCTTAACACAGTACTAAAATGTGGTAGGCCCTACAAGTAAAGTTATATTTAGTACGCTACATTCTTCAAGACTGTCAGCCGCCATGCAGTTGGTCCGTACGCTAGGATTTATAAAGTGCGCTTTAAAACGTTCAAAATAAAATATTTTGGGGCTTTTGGGCTCAAAATACTATCAAAATGAAGAGAGAAGTAAGACGAATCCACTGGTATACGGACGAAAAAGAGAAAACCAATGATACCAAAGTTATCAACAATACAATTTCGCTTGGCTTTCAAAGACAAAGCCATAAATCGCTAGAATACTGTTGTTTATTAATACATTTGACATCCGTATGAGCAATTTGTTAACAATACAATTTCGCTTGTCTTTCAAAGACAAAAGGCCATAAATCGCTAGAATACTATTGTTGGGGTCGGCTATTTTGCGAGCTGCGAGCTGCGAGTTGCGAGTTGCGAGCTGCGAGTTGCGAGCTGCGAGTCGCTAGCCTCGCTTTGAATTAGGCTTTGAAAGTATATTAATATGGACGACATGGAAGGCAAAGTCGAAGGGTTTTTTGTTTCATAAATATTAATGACCTTCGAAGTTAAGTTCCCTGTAACTAAATTCGTTAATTTCAACACGTTTCACGTGCACTTTAAGCTGGTTTTCCACTTCAACCGTATCGTAGCGAAGCGTAGCGTATTTCTTTGTTTCCTGAGCGCTAAAGTGGAACTAATGACTTCGACACAAAAGAAAATGCTACGATACGGTCGAGATGAAAATCGGCCTTTACTTGTTTGTTTACTTTGTTAGATCCATCGGTACGTATGTTCAAGAATTAAAATAATTATATTGAAAATAGAAGTGCAAGTTTATATTTGCCGTTTCTGTGTTTAATTAAATCTAGTAGTTATCCAGACCATTTTGTGCTTTCTAATCTTAAAATGGTTATTTAATTTTATTAGTATGACTAGACACCGACTCAGTTTGTTTATATATACTGAACGCTCGGGACCCTAAACTCAAGTCCTTTTCATCGGAAGTACCAATCTCGAAACCAGAGCCTGCAATCCTCTGAGGAGGCTTGCCGAGGCTCTGGGAAACACCAGCGAAAGTCTGGCTCTGATTGGTTGTTTTTCAAGTGCTAATTATTATTCAAACTGTGAGCCGTATTTAGTGATTCAAACATCGTTTAAAATTAATATAAAGTTTATTTCACTTTGTGTATTATGTTTAAACATATCAATAAACACACAGCATAACTTTAATAAACTTATTAATCTTCCCTAGCTTCTCATATGAAATCAATAGACTATTCAGATATTGATATGCCAATAACAAAATGTAGAATAACAACAGTGCAGCATTACCATATAAGATCATGATAAGCCGTTGCCTATAATTTTTAAAATAACACAACAATCCATGATTTACCGTAATTAAACAAGTTAAAATAAATCACTACCAGTATCTTACAACAATTCAAAACCATGGCAAGTGTTCTTTGAAGAATTAAAGTCGTAATAAGCTTAAACAACGGCATAATTCAGGTTAGATGGAAAACACGGAGTCGGAGTAGTCTGTTCCGGAGTCGGAGTCCCGGAGTCTGATGTCATAAAAATATGGAAAACACGGAGTTATATGGAAAACACGGAGTCTGACGTCATAAGAATATGGAAAACACGGAGTCATATGGAAAACACGGAGTCTGACGTCAGAGAAAAATATGGAAAACACGGAATCATATCTGCCTCGTCCCTCGTCGCTTCAGTTGGGAATAGAGATCAGTGGAAAAACAATGGGAGCGCGGTGCTTAATGGGAATGCGATAGAATCTGAAGTCAGGAATCATATGGAAAACACGGAGTCCATCATAAAATATGAAAAACACGGAGTCTGACATATTGTCAGCGTGAAAAATGGAAAATAGTAATTAAATAATATATAATTTATGCGAATATAAACAAACGGACGAATTTAATAATATAACGAATTAGAAATTTTTTGCAATAATTCTGGTTATTTCTCTAAAATGTCGTGAAAATATGGATTATTTATTTTTAAATACAATCAAGCAAATAATATTGTTTCTCTTGTCGTGTGACTTGTTCAGTTGTACAATATTTGAAGTGATTTTAATGCGGATTTTGTTCACCTCCTATGGTATGTTGATAAAAATATAGTTTATATACTTAATACTGCTAGAATATTTCATAGTCGATTTACATGTAATATTAACACACAAAATCTTGACACAAAACAGATATGCTGCTTGGAAACAGTGTGCAATATTGTCATTTACTAATAAATAGATGCAGCCAGCCAATACACAAATCCGTGCAGTACAGGGTGTCCCAAAAAAAATGCCCCCTGTCATATTTGGTGGTATTACTTCTCTATATTTAATCAAAGGTTCAAATTTTTTGCAGTGGGTTGAAAAACAATCATATTATATTAATCGTAGTATTTATCTCACCAAAATACTTAACCGTTCGGCTTCTAGAGATACTTAAGGTGGCGACACCAATTTTGCAACCCGTCCAAATTACAGAAATTAGGTTAAAAATAATGCAAACTTTCCAGAAGGATTTCTAAAGTTTCTACCCACCTTTTTGCTCAAAAACAAAATGTTTTTATCTCTATTATTAAACTTTTGTTTCTTGTAGAAATTATTATAAAAAGATGAAGAATCCCTGGCCAATTGACAAAGGCAAAGCTAAGGTTGGGAAAATGCCTTAAATTTGCCGTTTTCCGTTCAATTTGTTCCATGAAAGAGCAAATGTTGGGATTTCGGCACTAGTCTTTCCCCTTTTCTGGGGATTGCTTCATTATTTTTACAGAAAATTAATTTGCGATTTTGGCTACAACTAATTACAAGTTTTAGAAAAGATATGTAGCCATTTACCATTAAAATATTTCATGACGTTCCGTAATATGTTTAACCTAATATCCTCAATTTGGTAACCTGAGTATCAGGCTCTATTTTACAAATAGAGCCTGACACAAAACTTAACCTGATCGCTTTCCGCCCACAGCAAAGTTTATATTTAGTATCCAATCAAAATGTCGCAGGAGAAATTTAAATTTCACACAACGACAACAACAATCTAATTATAGCATAGGCGCCCACTAAACGGCTGAATTTAAATTAAAACTGCAATGAACTTATAAAATTAACAAAAATAATCACAAATTAGCGAAATATATTGCAAATGTAGCTTATATTAAATCGCACCCGATTGCTCTCTCCTCCGCAGAGGTTTCAGTGACTACAATGAGCTTTACATGGCGCTTGCCGTATTTATCAACAAACAGTGACGTATAATTATAAAGTATATATATATATATTAAGTATACTTTATAACTATACGTCAGTCGATAGTGCAATCTGATGGCGATTTAATATAAGCTACATTTGCAATATATTTCGCTAATTTGCGATTATTTTCTAATTTTACTGCAGTTTTAATTTAAATTCAGCCGTTTAGTGGGCCGGCTATAATTGTAGTTGTGATCGTTATAAAATATATCAACAACAATAGTATAATCTAATTAGCACCAGCCAATCAAATGACAGATTTAAAAATCGTTTGTCTAATCGGCCAATCAGCGCTCAGTCCATATTCTGGACTGAACAACCAGGCAAAATGCCACTTTTGTGTCAGGCCGTACTTTTCTCCCTTTCGCCCACGATCAGGCGTGCCTGTGCCCTAAAAAGTACGGCCTGATACTCAGGTTATCAATTTGGACAAGTGGCAATATTGGTGTCGCCACCTAAGTAACTCTAGAAGGCGAACGGTTAAATATTTTGGTTAGAAAAAATGCAACGATTAACGTAATACCTTCATTGATAAAAAAAATGAAAAAAATTGAATGTTCTATTACAGGTAACGACGATGTAGTACCACAAAATATGATGGGGGGGCATTTTTGGGGGGACACCCTGTATATTAATGGCATTAAAAAAGTTTTCAGGTGTCCAAAAAAATACCTGCACTATAGTGATAAGTCCATACCAAGTTAATATCTCTAACACATAAGTTTTAGGTTTTTATACTGAATTAAATATCATGCAATATCATAAGTTGCAATTAATCAAGCCATTGATATTGAGTGATCAAAAAGACAAGATAGGTATTGATAACTGACCATTTGTTCCAGGCTTAATTGCATGATACCATTGTAAAATCGTCTGGCGTTAGGCAGAGTAAAATATAAAGTAGGGTACATCTGGGCACATATATTGCCACTTAATTAAAGGGTTAATATAGAAATTTTGTATTTCATAAAGTATTACAATGCTTTTGAAAGGGATAATTTTAAGTGAAACCCACCTGTTGTGGACTTACAAAGTAAAATTGTGAACTGATGATGCAGAACCACTGGTAGCTACGGATTGTGGGGCACTAAATTTACTGTTTTCGTAGATTTTTGTCCAAGCAATTAAGTTATAAAGAACAGAATAATAGTGTTGCCACATTCATATAGTTCTATAGGCAAATGGTTGATTTGTCAAATATCAATTATGGATTGTTTCATTATAAACACTGGAATGCTCATACTGGATGGTTGTACAATAAGCAAAATTTGCCTTAGTAAAGTAAGCCAGTATCTAGGCTGGCTTGCATTACATATAAACATCCGCTATAATCCTACTATAGTTGGAAAAATTAAGAAGTAAAACAAATCTAGAATGAAATATATTTCCCTACAATAGATGCAATTTGTAGTTAGTTGTATATATAGGCACAAAAATGGCTGAAATAGTTTAAAATTCAATAAAATGTCATTGTGTTGACATGAAAATATTCTACCAACTG